GAATATTTCTGAAGAGGAAACTATTATATTGACTCATGGTTTAAGAGAACGCAGTTTAAGTTTAGATGTCTCCATTGTTTTTAATTATATTTTTATTAAATAATTGCTCAAAAGAATTTCCATTCCACAAATCAGTTTATAAGTACAATGGATCTTTACATAACTTTCCACAACCTTCTAAACCTCACTTCACTTTCATTTTTTCTACTTACACACTATCTGCATTGAATATTATGCCTTCACTCTCTTCCTCCATAACTCTCTTTATTCCTTCCCTTTTACTTCCACTCACATCTTCCAAGTGATAGTTTCCTGGTATTCATTTTGTTGGATTAAAAGTTCAATTTTATAAGAAATTACTCCTTTTAAATACTCCTCTGCAAATAGCATGCTTTTGTTAATACTATTATGTAATTGTAACCACTCTGTAGGTATTTTCACAATAAAAATATTCTCAGTTGTATGGTCAATAGATTTTGAAAAGGATTCCATGACTTTATGAAATAAAAACAGAATCTTAAATGGGTGTACTGGCACTATTGCCTCCCTAGATTTAAAATAAAATCTTAGACTATTACCTCAATCCTTATACAAAGATAAAAAAAAGATTATCTAACTAAATGTGAGATGTAAAAACCTATAAAACATAAGTGTAAAAATTCATGACATTGGATCAGTAAAGGTTTGTAAAAAATGATAAGGAGAGCATTAGTGGGTAAAGAAAAGCAAGAATAAACTGGATAATATCAACTGAAAACTTTTCATAATTCAAAGGACAATATAATAGAAGTGAAAAAATATCCAACAGATAGAGGGCACGTATTTGTTAATGCTACACTGTTAATGCTACAATGATTTTTAGTGTAAGTATTTTTATATTTTCTAATTCTAAATAACTTTTTTCCCGAATAGGTTATTTCTTTAAAGAACATATGCAAATTAATAGTCAATAGGAGAAGCATGTGAAATAAGTTCCTCTTTAGTATCTAAGAAAAAATCAAAAGAAAACTCACTAGTATGACCATAATATAAATAGATTACACAAAATATAGTAATGCATTTGTGGAGAAATTGATATACTCCACATAGCAAATCAATTTGTATAATACTGCAATCATTATAGCAAGCAAGTTTTCAAATGTTCAAAGAGAATTGTATAGGATCTTCCACCTTAGCTTATAAATAAGGAGTCAAATTCAGTTTTTTGGTATGAATTTACAAATAGTTTCATGCAGAAATAAAAATAAAAATAAATTTTAACTACTGGCTCTACGGTCTGTGTCCTTTTAAAGTAACTATAGATATGTAAGTAGAATTATGTAAATTGGGTCATGTGTTTACAGCTGTACTGAAGAAATACTCTTAATATATCATTGGAAACTTTGGTTATTGAATACTATCGATATGAGAATGTTATTGAACTAATCACACTTGGTTGAAAACTATAGCTTAGTCCATCAAAATGTGGAAATTAATAATTTTATTTATAAGAAAAAAGGCTGAGAAGTTGGCTTAGTGGTTGAAATTCATATTGATAAAATTTTGAGATATGAATGTGAAGCCATGAAATTCTGGATCCATGAATTCAACAGATCCTGTTGATTTTAAATGCTGGGAACAAATGCTTTTATCCTGAACTTAGAAGAATTATACAGATATAACTCTCATGAACTTTACTTAGAAGTATTCTGTGAATATTTTTGAAGATTATTTTAGCCAGGTGATTAAAGATTGAACTACAGCATAGACAAGCCTAATTTATCCTTCAGTTCCAATGAGTGACACATGTATCCATATCAGTTTGGAACTTTATTGAAATATCTTTAGATATGTTTGGATATCTTATCAGCCTAATCATTATAAATGTAGGACAAGTAACATCAAGTATTAGGTTGAACATACATCTTTACTGATGTGACTGAAGACTCCTCGAATTGATTCTTCTTTAGAATAGAAAATGCCTCATTAACCATTGACAAATCGTAACTGACATATATTCTATTCAAATCTAATTTTTGTTAGGGATATCTCCATGCTGTAATAACCCTGTCAATCAACCTGCCACAAATTCTTATATATAGGAAGTGCTCTTATAAACTTCAAACTTTTATTGAATGGAAGAGTTCAGACATTACCCTCACCAGTAGGATTAAAAGCCTAAAAATATCAGACATTTTGTGTTACTGTCTTTCTTTCATTTTTTCATACACATTGGCAAGTAGGGAAAGATTCTGATGTAACAATAATACAATTTTGACTTGTATTAACACAACATCTAGGAACTAGTGTTAATTGGTTACTTACCAATTAGCTCCAAATTTTCTGGATATTTATATTTTTCCTAGGAAAACTAATGAGCTCCAAGCAAATGTCCCTAGGGAGCCTTACACTTTTAATATCACTGTTTGTCTCAAAATGATTTAAATTTAAATTCTACACCCTCTAATGTGGGCATAGTGTTATACTGTGGAACTTTTCTCCTCAGAGAGTGAGTACTACCCTATTGCTTAACATAGACAAAGTACCTTCATACATAGACAGTCATGTGCAAAGAAGAAGTAGTAGGTGAACAATGTTCTCAGCAATTTGTAAAGATGAAATGGAAATAGAGCAACCATGAACTCAAAAGGAATGTGCAAAAAAGCGAAAGGCACAAAGTAGAATGTGCCAAGGAAATGCTGAAGTATAATTTCAAATTATGTGCTCAGGTGTGAGGATGTGTTCAAAGTATTGATTCAGAGAATTTAGTTGGATATCTTGGGGGAAAAACTGCTTTAAACTATTCTGGGATAATTGTACAATAGAAGCCCCTAACTCTGACTCTAATCATCCACAACATCATCAATTTAGGGACTATTTTTCCAAGTGCAAAGCGAGAAAAAGAGGGCTAATCACAGTTAGTGTTCAGGTTGAAGTAATGGAAATCACCTAAATTTTCTTATAAAATCTACATTTATTTTGGAGCATTAAATTAGAGAAAAGCCAAGTAAATAGTATGCATGTTCCTAAATTAAGAGGTACTTATTATATTGTTCTCTTTTTTAACTTGGAAGTTATAGATTATATCTTTTTATACTCTAACTTGGTTCAATGATCTGCTATCTGTTATTTCTTCTCTTCCCCTTCTTTTGCCCATCTACTTACATAATTTTTATTTAAAGAGACAAACTTGAGCTTGCATTTCTAAATTCTCCTAAATTATCTGAATTTCTTCATACTTCTGGCAGCCTCCTTAATCTATCTCAAGGGAATATTTTGTCACTACCATTTTTATTCTATATGATATCTTCCTGCCTAATTCAGTGCAAAATATACATTAGACTCATCCAGATATCTCAACACTTGTACCAACATAAAAGACTATGTTACTTAGAAATCATTATTTTAGTATACCTGTGGAGGTGGCATCTGTAATTTTTGAATGACCCTAACTGATACTTACATGCAATCATGTTTTAAACCAATATACCACTCAGAAGAATGAATCACTAAAATGTGGTACGCACACACACACACACACACACACACACGGTGGAATTCTATGCTTCATAAGGAAATGGAAAGACTTGGAAAAATCCTACTAAGTAAAATAGGCAAGATATAAAGAAAAAGATTCCATGGTTTCCCTCATGTGTAATGAGTAGGAAGTGTCTAGGGTAGTCTTAGCAGATGAGCAGAATGGCTCAATACCTATGTATATGTGACCATATAAGTGGATGATGAGCAAAATGAACTCCTAGTGTTCCCCTATGGTTTATCCCCTGCTGTATTTAATTTCAGTATCCTGTATATTGTATACATATTTATCTTAATGTTGCAAAGGAAGAGGAACAACAAAATGGTGACACAAAAGACAAAGGGCAAACCAATGCAATAGCAATACTCAGAAGACAACATTTTGGAAATTTACATTACTACTTATGAGGGGTATTGTGAATGAAAATTGTGATTAAAATGAGAGGGAGGGGATAAAAAGTTCGACATGTTATGTACTCTCTACCTTTCAATTACTGCAACCCCTTTTATATATTAAATGGACAATAAAATTAAATTTAAAAACAAGCTACATAAAATATAATTTCACTGTATTGGCATAGAAAATATTATTCTATGTGTATTACCTTTTTAATAAAATGAACAATATTTGGCTTCTAATTTGAATTAATTGTCCCTCTCTTTATCAGAGGGTCATCAACTTGAATGTTATCAAACTATACAAAATTTTCAAAATATACTTGTCATTATTTTGAAAAAAACATTATTTTAGTATTATCTCATACTACATAGAAAATAGTTCAATTCTCTGGAAACTCCTAACTTTTAAAACTAAATATTTGTTGATAGGACAGAGTATATGTGATCTTCAAAATTCCTATGACTACTAACGACTCATTTTCAAATTCTGAACATGCCATACCAGAGATATTTAAAACAGTGCCTGTATGCATTTTATTTAATTCCGCAAAAAATGCAGTTTCCAATGGGGCGTTACATAGTTAAAAGTCAACAGAAAAACTAGCCACATTCTGGTAGAAGATAAAACTATGAAGTATCCATAATAATTAATTCCTCTAGAGTAAACATTTGTTCATCAGAGTAAGCTATTATTTTTATGACAATCAATCCCAACATTTTATGCAGTGAAGTCATTCTAGCCCAACACTTTCCAAATTGTAAGGTGCACCTTAAAATTCCCTAAATTCACAGCATGACTAGCTTATCATTATAGTGAAAAAATTCTACACATCTGATAATGAAATGCCCTTTCGATTGCTGAAAAAACACTACACTAAACTTTGCTGCATCGTTTTCCCTCAAGTGGTATTCTTCAGATCAGAAAACTTGAAAATATTATTTCTACTCATCTTTTTATCTATCATAGATATTCAGGAGGCTAAGATCTGAATATTATGGTTCAAAACCCACCCAGGCAGGAAGGTTCCTTAGATTCTTATCTCCAATAAACTGCTCAGGAAAAGCCAGACACAAGTGTTACTGAGTTTCGAGTGGTAGATCAGTAGCCTTGACCAATAACAGGCTCAGGGACAGTGCCCAGGCCCAGCGGTTAAGCCCTAGGACAAACAAAACAAAAAAAACAAAATGAAAACAAACCCCAAACCTAGCATTTTTCTCATTGCATGCAGAGGTAAGTAATTAAGGAAATGTCTTCCTGTGTTATGTATAGGTAGAAGAAAAAAGATGTCGCACAATAACTCTCTTCATACCATGTTACACCAAAGCCTCAAAACATTGCTCTTTTTCTAAATTTATAAATTAATATCATCCATTTGTTGGCAACTGTTTCTAGCATTACCATGTTATACATGAACTGTTGGAATTATCTATTAACTAAGTCCTTTAACTCACTTGAAAGAATATTCTAGACAAATAGAATGCCAGAATAATTTGTAAATTTGTAAATTAAAACTTCTACTTAAAAAGAATTTTGTAGTATCCTGTAGAATATAAAATTACAAACAAAACATGTTTATTTTAAATTTAAATTCTCATTTAGCCAGGTTTACAAAGTCCTACATTAGAAAATTTTGCTATTTCTCCAGGATTAAGCTTTTGTAATCCTTCATCATTTCTGTGGAAACCAACAGAATGATGCTTACTTTTTTAAATTTTTGGTTTGGAATCATGAGCTATTTTGCATCTAGGAATGTTCTGCAATGAAGAGAGCATTTAAAACATGACTGAGGATGATATATGGGTTGCATTTCAATAGGAAACTTGACTTCTCAAAACATAATGACAAAATTAGCCCTAACTTCCAACTGTGAATTCCTGTCTTGTTTTTTGGTTTGTTTTATTAAGCAAAATTATACTAACTAGTTACGGGAAGGTATCACTATGTAATCCACTCTCTAATCTCCTGTCTTAATCTGAATGCTAGAATTTCAGGCTTGTATCACATTGTCCTACCATAGTTTGATGGTTTATTTAACCTAGAAGCATCCTAGTAATTCTGAACTTCTCCGATGATCTTATCCACTAGACTGACTGCTCAAAGTGTTTCTGTACAATTTTCAAAGATGTTCTAACATTTGACACAGGATATGAACATTTTCAGATGCACCTGCAGGGGTCTCTGATTCATTCCTCCATGGATCCTCCATGATGATTACTTGCCTCTCTTACTGTGTCTGGTCCTTACCTATGTAATATTCTCAAGCTTTTTGGGGGAAAGTTCACTTGAGGAGTTTCTAATATTGAAAATTATGACTTGATTATAGTCTTACTCAGGACATATTTTCTATTATTTTCTAACTTTTCTACACAATCTGAGAGTTGTTTCATATGTGTGTTTGCACATGTAAGTGCTTCTGTGTGTATGTGAATGTTTGTATGTATGTATGCAAAATCCTCAAGCTCTTATTCAGCAATCTTGCTCATGACTAGTATTACATCACTTGAGCCATTCTTCTAGTGTAACTTTTGGCTGGTTAATTACAGGTAGTGTTGCAAAGACTGTTCTGCCAAGGCTGGAATCAAACTTAACTTCCCAGACTCTTTTACATTCTTAGTTTTTATTTTTTCCAGGAGTATCATGTTTTAAACTAGGAACACTTTCATGAATGTAAAGTCTAACCTGTAGCCCAGATTTTTAACTCAAGAATTCATACAAAGGTAGATGAACATACACATTATATATCCTGAGTGTACACTGCTAGAAATGTGATCTTGAGCCGGGTACTGGTGGCTCATGCCTATAATCCTAGCTACTCAGGAGGTTGAGATCTGAGTATTGCAGTTCAAATCCAGCACCAGTAGGAACGTTTTCTGAGTCACTTATCTCAAATTAACCACCAGAAAACTGGAATTGACACTGTGGCTCAAGTGGTAGAACTCTAGCCGTGGGTTTAAGACCCACAACCATCAAAAAAAGAAAGAAAGAAAAAGAAATGTGATCTTAGCCACCAGTTCATTGCTAGTATAATTCCTGCTCTCTCAACATGGCCTTTTTTTTCCAGTTAAGTCCATGCTTTTATATCTGACTTGCTTTGTGAACAGAATTATTCTTCCATACTATGTTATTACAAATTTTCATGATTAGCTACCATGATTTAGATCTAGTAGAAAACAAGAGTGGCCTCATCCTTCATGTTCCACTTAGTAGTAATGCTTTCTCTATCTCACTCCCAAAGATCTACTTACTGGCTTTGAATTTATTGTTTCAATGTTGTCTTATTTGTAGAGTCTTCTGTAGTGTATTGAACTATTAAACTTAAGCACAAAACTTCTTTTTCTTGTATTATTCCTATTGTTTCTCCTACTGTTAACTTATGTACACTTGGGAAATAATGCACAACACACACACTCACAAAGAAATGTTTCTGAGAACCTTCTTCCCACTTAAAATTGGTCTTAATTACAGTGCAATTAGGAAATTTGAACTTAAACTACTCCAGGAAGTTTTTTTCATTTTTTTTGTTGTAAAAATGGTGTAAATAGTGGTTAGAGTTACATAAATAAGTAAATGAGTACATAATCTATCAAGCACTGTTACCTCCTCTTTTGTTTTTCCCCTGCCATCCCTTTCCTCCCCACCGTCCCAACTCCCTTCTCCCCTCTTCAAGTAGTAAAGTTCATTTTCGACATAGTGCTTTGTACAACTCATTGTTACAATGGGTCATACTGTATCCTTGTTTCAGCATTTTGTTATTTCCCTTCCCTTCCCCACATTAATAAAATGTATATGCAAGATACAAAAAAAATACACACTACATGTTATATACATTAAAAACAATAGCAAGAGAGAAAAATCAAGTTGTGTCACTATCTTGGGGTACATTCAATTAACATCATCTTAGATGGCCATGTGTACATGGAAAATGTTTTATAAGCGATTTAAATTCCATATTTTCTCTTTAAAAAGTTATTTCTGAAACACAAGTTACCTCATGTCCAAAGATGTACTTGTGCTATTTAAATGAAACCAGAAAATATTAATTTTACTTGGAGCAGCATCATAGATTGTTACTGGAGGTAAGTGGAAGGAACTGTTACTGGAAGTGGAAACTGATCCCAAGAGAGGAATTGAACATAGAGAAATGAAAAAGTTCAAGTTAGTTTGTGCTGTCCTTTTTATGGTACAAGAAAAGAATCCAAGGCCTGAAGGAAACTTTGTCCCTTACCTTTTCGAGTGTGTCCTTTACTCATATAAAACTTGTCTGTAAGCTTCCAGTTGGGAGTATTAGAAAAGGAAACAATATTCCATTTCAAGGCCAACATAGAATAAAAGGAAATAACTTTGTTTTAAAAGTGTTCTACTGCAAAGAAACAAAGACATGGAGATTTTAAAGTGTCTTATGCACGGATATTTCTCTCCTGAGATGATTCTCCTATTGTAGAAGTCAGTTATCCATTTCTTTATTCTGGTCCTGGGTCCTCCACAGCAATAAGGATTCCAAAAAGCAGGATCCAGTGAGTATAATCAGCAAAAGGAGCCTCTTCTCAAACCAGTGCTTTAAGGATGGTCCTAAAGAAATATGTGGGTTTTTCATTTTCTTGTTTGTTTGTTTACTTTGTGCTGGTTCTGGGGCTTGAACCAGAAGGTGGACCCTGTCCCTATACCGTTGTCTTTCCTGCCCACCTACCCCCTAAACTACTACTCTACTGCTTGAGCTAAAACTCAAATTCTGCCTCTTTTAGTGCTTAATTACAGATAAGAGTTTAACAGGCTGTCCTGCCTGGGTTGACTTTGAACTGAGATAGTAAGAAAACCAAGTGACATCAACTGTATGGACTTCTCTTTTGAAACAAGAATTATTAGATGAAGTTTATAATAAAGTTAATATTTGATAATTTTTAAAAGAAGAGAATATGTCAAGCAAAGAAGCCATAACTTAAATAACTCAGCAAAAGTAGGTGCACTGAATCATTTTGGAATTATTTTTTCTGTTTGGGAAGATTACAATTGACTTCGTTGTTCCTTTTGGGGAAACTTGAAGTCATATTTGCAGTTTTTGGTGGTCATGGGGCTTTAACTCTGATGCTGGGCCCTGTCCCTCAGCTCTTCCGCTCAAGTTGAGTGCTCTGCCACTTTAGGTACAGCACCACTTCTGGATTTCTGGTGGTTAATTAAAGATAAGAGTCTCATGGATTTTCCTGGCCAGTCTGGCTTTGAACCACAATGCTCTAGTCTCAACTTCTTCAGTAGGTAGGATTATAGGCATTAGTGACCAGCATCCGGCTTATATTTGCATTTATGTGCACTTAATGACACTATGTAGACAAACAATGGAAATTTGAATCAATGATGACATTGCAGCTTTTCAGAAAAATTGAACAATAAAAATATCCTCCTTTTCCATGTTGTTACATTAATGACTCGTGTTATGGGACTCTTACATTAGCATCCTCTGTTGTCTGCGCATGTGGACTTAGTATCAGAAATGACTGAAGATTTTAGAAAGCAAAGGAGTTCAGGAATGAAAGAACAGCATAGAAGGATATACCATTTATCACACAGAGATTAAGAACTAGCCTAAGGAATTAGAATGCTAAAGACAATGAGGAATAAGCCTAGTTGATAACTAGTTCTTCAATAACCAAAAATGGTTCCCTAGAACAGATTGTGGTATAACTTAGTTATTATCATTTATTCCTTCCATGTGAAGTTATTCCTTCTCTTTTCTCAAAACTATTAATTAGTCTATTCCTTTTTGATGCTATAACTTACCAAAAAGATTTCCAAATCTCACATAGACTACCCTTCTCATTGTGATTAGAAATGACGGCTCAAAACCTGGAATCTTTGAATTTCCAGGATTAATCTCCACCTGATATCTAAGCACATTCTTGGCATTAAATTGCCATGACCTACTAACAGAACATTGTTTTTTGTTTTTTGGGTTTTTTTTTGTTTTTTGGTGGGGGGGTGTCTGGACGCGGAGCCTGAACTCTGGGCTTGGGCGCTGTCCATCAGCTCTTCAGCTCAAGTCTAGCGCTCTACCACTTGAGCCACAGCGTCACTTCTGGCTTTTTTCTTTTTGCTTATGTGGTGCTGAGGAATCGAACACAGGGCCTCATGAGTGCAAGGCAATCTATACCACTGAGCCACCTTCCCAGCCCTTTTGT